CGACGGGCGACGCACGACGGGCGACGCGCGACGGGCGACGCGCGACGGGCGACGCGCGACGGGCGACGGGCGACGCGCGACGGGCGACGCGCGACGGGCGACCTTCAAAATTTAGTTTATAAAGCTACACGACAATCAACTAGTCTATAACTGTAATGTTGATGATCGGCACAGTCTACTTCAGCTCTGCAAGTGCTTCCAGATGGTAAGTTAACTGACATTTAAAGAAAACGATCACGCTATAATTACGCAACGGATCAGCTACTAATACACACGTGCATGTCATCTTATTAGCAAGGACTTTGGAGGGTTATACCCTGTATTGCTTAGGCTCCAGCTGTTGGGCGTGATAGGTCGACTCGCACCATGCTGGATCGTGATGTGCAGTCGGTCGATTCTTTAGGAAACCCTCAAATTTAAGATGTCTTCATTTCGATGCAGTATTGTACAACGGTGAGTGTGAAAAAGGACTACCAGATCGGGATTCGCAATGATATAGCGCAGTGCTCGCCTGATTGCTGCAATTTACTGTGTAAGCTGCTGCTGTTACGACCATTGCTGCTGTTACTACTGTTGGCGAGGTGGCTCACCCCCCTCCGTCGTTTCTTTTCTTGTCCTAGTTTTAAGTTGTGAGTCGTGTGACAAGCACCAATTTTTTTATACTCGTCATTTGACAACTCAAATAACACTTTCTGTTCACTGGTAAATGAACTTAAAAATGTTTTTGAAGAGTGACCCCTTCGATCCCGGACTCAAATCAGATGGACTCCATCTCAATGGCTATCAATCGGGGAGGGGGAGGGGATGGGATAACAGCTTTCTTCAAGCCATGCACTTTAAAAGCAGGGGCGTAGCGACCGGCAGTATGGAGGTGTGGCACCCCTTTAATAAATAATTACAGTCGGCAAATAGAGCTGTGGTCGGCAAATGATCCAAGATTGGTACATCAACGACAGGTTGGCCGTCGGCATTTCCCCTGAAGCATGAAAATGTTGCGTACCACGGCTTTGCATTTTCCGCACTTTGTGAATTTGACTCGAGGTTGGCGAACAAGTTACAAATCGGGAAATTGACTCTGGCAAACCCTCCAAGAAAAATACCCTTACCAAGCCCCTGTTAATAAGTGCGCACTTGCAAAATTGTTGGCCTCCTCCCGACATATGGAATCACGGAAGCACAAAATTGGCAAGGAAAGGAATGGATTTCGTCTCACGTTTCCCAGTCCGTGGCGTCAGGTTTAGCATCTGGTGTATGTAACGACCTGTTCTTGTCTCCAAATAGATCTACTTATGACGTGTTTCTGCACCCGGCCGACGGAAAACGACTCTGTTACTCGAGTGGCAAAACCAGTTTCTATGAGGCACAAGTCTGTTTGGCAGATGTGTATTAATTAGCACAGGATTTCCGAGGAAGCCGGCCCCTCAATCGTTTTTTTCTGCTATTCACATTATGATCACTTGGCAATAAGGTCGAGGGCACAATTCAGAAGGCCCCATCCTTCCTCGTGGTGGTGGTCACGGTGAAAAACAGTCTATTATTTTCAAGTTCCGTGTTGATTCGATCATTGTGTGGACTGTCAGTGTCACTGAAAAACTGGAACGCATCTCCCCTATGGCCATCGAATCTGCTTCAGTTCAGACCGTCACTTCCGAATTCGGCCGATAATGCTGACCTTAATGTCACTTTATAAGGATTTCGCAATGCCAATAGCTAACCGATGATTTCAAGAAAATGGGGCAAAACGAGAACACCCTAGATCTTCGAGTGGTCCGTGCAAACACGAATTCCCCAAGAAACTTAAACTTGGGGATACTGGGAATCATTTTCTGATCGTGTCCAAATATCCAATAGGTAGTCAATCGCCCATGGCATGAGTTTGTCTATGGCAAAAATATTCAAACATCTCTTAGTCAGTGTGTCAACCTAGTGATTCATAACTGATAAATAGTTTCATTTTCAGCTTTGTCTTGGTCCCAGCGCAGTATATGGCATGCAAAGTTTACAAACATTTAATCCGCGTATACTAATATCTATATTGGGAATAGTCCAGAGATAGCTCTATTATATACAGTATACGTGGTGATTTTTGCCGTCATTTTCGTTATTACTTTGACTGAAGACAAGTGAAATGTGGATAGCGGAAAGTGTGTCCAATGGGGATCAAGCAGACATCAATTATGAATACCAATATTAAATGCTTTCTGGGTGTGACGAGCGAAGCGCACAATACATCATTGTTCAAGTCCGAGGGCATGATCCATGCCCTTAGTAATTCCGTAATGCGGAGCGCTGCGTATAGAGACATTTCCGGAGTGATTAGAGACTTTCAGAAATTTCCCATATATCGAAGTATTCGTTGATATTAAAGAGGGGTTTCTTGTAACACTTTTCGTCCGTCTGATAGTGTGTAATTGTTTATTTACCAATTATTTATAATGGAATAGACCCGCGAGTAAAGGTCAGTTCAGTGGACTGTGTTCGACCTACGCGTGTGACCGCCTCACGAGCACACACCAAAATCAAACCTTGCGTGAGACAAAATAAGGCCGAACGTTTTAGTCCGGGTGGTGACAGAGGATGTCGAACGGTCAAACATTGTCAAGTGGCATGTCTGGGCACACATCCGGTGTCAATCAAGCGTGTGCTTAGATGTTATGGCATGCCCAGAATTTCAACGTTTAACCGAAGGTTAACCGAATGCTGAGATATGATAATCAAGTGGATTAGGCCAGACAAGACAAGAATTAGGCTTACACGCCTCTATCAAAATATAATAAATATTTAATCTTTAAAAATTGCTCAAAAGGTTGAGGGAAGTTATATATATATATTTATATATATATATTTATATATATATATAACCATTTTACCGGACCTCTACCCGACAACTTGTCATGTGCCATGTTTTTCAACCCAAAGTACGACAATCAACGCCTGTTGACAGGTCAAAATCTGGGGGTCGGTACCAGGCTGTTTTGCATAATACTAAATCATGCTATATGCAGCATTTACTGGACACTCGTCTGCAAACGAGCGTCTATTGAAATAATTGACTGTTTGTGTCATGGTCTCCAAAGGAAATCAGGCAAAAGTCTTTGCAGTGTCAAAAATGAATCGTCGCTGTTAGAAAGCGGCGAGCCGCATCGGCTGATGTGAAGAAGCACATGCAGTTCATCACTTCTTGAATCTATGACAAATCATAAGGTAATTACAGACCCATGCTCAAAAGCCTCAACATAAGACATCAGCCCTATCTAGTAGTCCAAGTGGGTGTCACTTTGTGGGTCAGTGTTTTTAGGAAAGATCGGTTCTGTGTATTTTAATGTGCTGTAAAAACGCCATTGCCATCATCGCCCCAGGTAGCAAGCCTACATGGGGCCCATATGGGAAAAACCTGGGCTTCGTGGGCCATCTGAGCATGGGGATAACTCAGGTTTATCCCTTATGAGGCTTTTATGGGCTTTCCCATATCGAGATCTACATGGGCTGACCCATTTGGGTCTCATATTGGAAAATCCTGGGAAACCCCAGATGAGATTCCAAATGGGCCTACCCATATGGGTATCATGTTGTAAAACATAGCAAGCCTACGTGGGAACTATATGTGGGCCAGCCCATTTGGGTATCATAATTTATGGGAAAAACCTGGGCACACCCACATGGGAACTACTACGTTTTTTGTACCCCCTGCAAAGTTAAAATGAAATGCCAACTTTCCTATATTTTCCAAAAGAACGACACGTACAAGTGGCCTTTTGAAATGAACTGTTGTAAAATGGGTCCCAATGGGGGTGGGGAATCAGGCCAATTTTTGGTAGGCACAAGTCTAAGATGCTGAGTAAGCGGATGAAATAATGACTGATTAGAATTTATCCCATTTAGAAATTAACATAGCTTTATGTATTTTGTATCTTGACGCCTTACTTTCAATAGTCTTATAATACGACTACGAATCGTGAGCAGCAGGCACAGCGTCACTTAGCAGCTACCATCGTGTATTTTGCCGCGCCGTTGTCGATGCGTGTGAAGCGGACGGCACATGCTGCCAAGACAATACTGTGCCAAGCAAATTTTTGTGCCTAGCAACTTCATGAAATTGGCCCAGCGCTTGGTAGCCAATTTCATGAAGCTGCTAAGCAGAAACGTTTGCTTAGCACAGTACTATCGTCTTCCAAAAAAACCCCAGGTGACCAGCCAATAAACCTTGTAATTTTTATGATAAGCAAACATCAGCTAAACACCAGTCACAAGCAATAAACAACTCATGAATATTTTGGTTAGGTAAAATCATGCTAAACGATCCATGAAATCCCTGACCACTCACAAACATGACGTTCCAACTCACAAACACGACGTTCTAACTCACAAACTCGACGTTCTAACTCACAAACTCGACGTTCCAACTCACACACACGAAGTTTGAACTCACAAACACGACGTCCCTACTCACACACACGACGTTTGCCTGTCCGTTTTAGAACACCATAGTACAGAGATCTAGCAAGTGTCGATACATGCATCTGTTCATGATGTTGTGCTACTAGTTTGAACTGGCCTGCATGTTCCGCCATCATAGACATGTCCAAGCAAGTTGCCGGCCACGTCATTGACAAAAAATGCTGCATGATCAGAAACGTGTAAGTTTCAGTTAAAGCACCTCCATCAGGCTTATTAACTGTTTTGTATTCAAATATCATGACTTGGTTTAAAGCACACTTCTTGATCAGGGTAATAAAATATTGGTTAGCCAGTGCCAGTATTTCGATTTAGTTAAGTTTTTTTTGATGGCTCTAAATACAAAAAGCCAACAGAGTGCAGAGCAAAACTGTCATGAAATCTGTATCGGCTACCCCCTTGTTACATTGTACAGATGATGCACGAGCTAGCCAGGCTAAATTTCACATGTAGGCCTCGTACGTGCATTGGGTTTACATTCAGCCTTTTGTCACAAAATTTAAAAGCACAAAATTATTTGTGATAAAATGTGCATTGGTTTAAGATAAACTAGGACACTGGAAACAAGTTATTCAGCTTGATTCTGTACATTAGTGAAGGATGATTAGTACAACAGTGAAGGATGTATTTTATACGCATAAATTAAAGACACTGATGAGCTGTGACGTTGACTTATTTGTAAGACGTTGAGTTTAGATGGTCAAGTTTCCTGCTCATGTGAGTGTCTTACGATCCAAGATCTTTCCGCTTTTCCCATTTTTTGGCATGACAGGAAGGTTGTGTTTTCAGTGGTGACTTTTTGTGGTGTTACTATCGCACATGTATTACTTTAGATGTTAATTCGGATATAAATTTGCATACATTTTCGAAAACATCCGATACAGACATATCTGCACATTTGTTGAATAAAAGAAATCTGATTTCGCATCTAGGCTCTAGTGTTATGCATTCCTTCTTACCAATGCATCGTACTGGTATTCTTAAGTGCTCATTATACTTTTATTCACGCACTCTCCTGACCTTGAAAATCTCAGAGCTCTATTTCAACAAATAGTTCCTATAGGCCTATAAATGCAGATGTTCTTTTCTTTGGTTTTCAGATCTCCTTATTTTATCACTGGGATCAAATTCTGCCCCAAGCTCTCCACAAAGCCAGCTCATCTTGTGCAATGTACACACTCAGGTTCTAAGACAACCGAGATGACTGGATGAGTCTCCATATACAACTGAAAATCGTAAAAGAGATTTATTCTATTGTTCTTTTCTGGTTTGCATCAGCACCCTGTGCGGTGTTCATTACATGTAAATCTCAATTACGTAATGTCCACGTGAATTTGTCGATATTCTGCCCATATACTGCTGTTCTACCTGGGCCCCGTGTAAGTCCCATGTAATGCTCACATGCGTTTGCCCATATTCTGCCCATGAAGTGCCTACCCACCTGGGCCCCTGGTTAATCCCATGTAAGGCCCATACTATTGACCTACCTGGGCCCTGCGTTTCTAATGCCCATATGGATTTGCCCCATATACTGCTATTCCACCTGGGCTCCACGTAATGCCAATATGGATTTGCCCATATGCTGCTGTTCCACCTGGGCCCCACGTAATGCTCATATGAATTTGCCCATATTGTACCCACATGCCACTGACCCACATGGGTCCCATATAAATCCCATGAAATATGCCCATAATATGGGCATTGCGAGTTTGCCCATAATCTGCCCATTATGGCCCATATGAATATCATAGGGGGCCCAAAAGGGCCAACATAATGGGTCCCACATGGTCCCACGTGGGGACCCCGTGGATTCTGCATTTAAAAATAATATGGGTCCCATATGGTCCAGTCCTTATTGGTCCCATACGGAACCACAAGTAGGCTGCACCCAAGCTTCATATGGGGCTCACGTGGGCCAGCCCAGATAACCCATATGGGTAGCATAGGGGCCCCTTATAGGTTATCTGGGCTGGCCCACGTTGGCTCCATATGAATCTTGGGTGCAGAATCCTTGGGACCCATGTATGTTGGCCCATTTTGGACCTATTTGGTTCCCATATAGGCTTGCTACCGCCATCTGAAGCTTGTTTAACTGATAATCGACGGATAACGTATGACCATACACCACAAACAGACCGACCGTATTGCTAACATATATATTGTATCACATATTAATGTGACAGTGAACTTACTGGAATGTATCATCTATATCAACCGTCAACATATCAAAAATCGACCGATAACACATCAGTATGGGAAAAGGCTGTAAATGTTACAGATTAATCAAAGTCTGATATACCTTATGTTAGACCATGTTCCAATAAGCAACACCCTTATAGTTACTGACCAGAAAAGGAAAAACTTGATTAGTATACAAATAATGTTTATGAGTGCAATGGTAAGACTAACCTCATGAGGTGACATAGGCCAATGTTTAAGTCGACAAAGGGAAGCTGAGTGGAATGGAACATTTTACCGAAAGAAATTATTCTTAACACATGCGCGAATGTGAAAGATTAATTATTTTCTTATAAAATACCTGCATTAATCCAGTCCATTAGGGAAACAAATAGGTCCCATTCGCGTATTAAACTCGTAATAGATTCGTGTCCGAAGCAATGTCCGCTGATAGTACCTCGCAATTTTAGACTTCATTCCATCCCTACATTATTTTCCTCTTAAAGAAATTTCAATGGCGTGATCAACAATACCCCAATCAGGATTTATGCAGGTATTGTCTAAAAATTAATAGAGTAGGCCTATAAGGGTTAATATTCTCGCGTCTGAAGAGATGCCCACCGGTAGTACCGTACAATTTAGGACTTGTTTCCATCCCCACATTATTTTGCTCTTTAACGAATAATTCAATGACATATGATCAACAATACACCATTCAGATGCTGAGGATTTATGCAGGTATATGCATTGTATAAAAATTAATAGATGCATCTGGGGGTTGATAAGATATGGTTTATAGTTACAACACTATTCCAACCAATATTGTATGTTTGTTATTTTCCTGACAGATGTGGACAATTATAGAAATGAAGGTAGGCCATGGATTTTAAATTGGTTTCACGCATATCTAACGGCAACATAGTGATCGGGTAACAAAATGGAAAAGGCTCTTACATATCGGTCTCGCCGTGTTGCATTTTCGGTCGAGTTGTAGATACAGTTGCAACTACACGAAAAGTGCTGCCTGGCACCTCCTTTCGAGACCGAATAGGGACGCAGAGGGCGTGTTCTGTGTCCTATAGGGGAGGAAACGATCGTGTAATTTCAGCTTTCACAAGAGATGCGTGGTTAAAATATTTAAAGGGCAGCAGTAATCAATTTGTTTTAACACAAACCTTCGAAATGTATCTTTGTGTCTCAGATAACCTTATTTTAAACTTATGTTTTTTCACCACATCAAAGGGTGTTTTACTGCCTTTTGTGGTTTATGCTAATGTTTTCATACTCATGAGCAAAACTATGATGTCCTAGAAAGAAAGCCTCGGTGGAACATTGGTTTGTACACAAAATAGTCCAGCACTTTTGTAGATTTTACTTGACTAAATTTTCTCTTCTTTGCTGTTCTCTTCGTTGTCGGTCATGTGCCATAGCAAATAAGCAATCATCAGTCCCTTTCTTAGAAATGTTTTCAGTTGGTATATTAATGGGTTCACAATTTGTACAGAAAACCCTATGCACTGAACTATGTCTTTCCTGATGACATTACCGAAACAGCACCTCAGTTGTCCTTGAAAGCATGGATACATTTCAGTGTCTAAAAAGTGCACTTTTCGATGCCTTTAACCAAATAGGAACTGAAATGATTTTTCACACATTGAATGGTACAAATTTGTTGAAAAATCGTTCCTAAAAAAGATTCATTGCAACTACTCTTTAACCAATGTTTGCAACAAATAAAAATGTCAGTCCGAGTGTCGTTTGACTTATGATTGCTGTGTGTATCCCATTCTGAGTTTGATTGACGAGAGGGGTAAAATCCTTATTACCGTTTTTTGTTAATCGAAGTTCACGTGAACAAGCAGAAAGGATCTTTCTTTGTTTTGTCATCTGCCTACTGAGATAGAGCTGTAATGCTCGCGATTTGGGGAATGTGGTATCACGAAAACAGATTTTAAGACAGGATCATGTGACTTATTCTAGCTCTCCAATGAGACACCGCTTAAAAACACTAGCCCACGATAATTTTCATTTCCATTTTTTTGTGATTACTCGGATCCTGATACTAATTCAGCTCCAAAGCAAGAGGGACGTGCATGTATTGTTCGCATGCATTGTAACGACCATGCGCCAGGTCGAGTTCTCGCTTTCGACCGGTGGGAACCGGAACAGGATCAGACACCGCCTGCTCGTCAGGGATTTGCATGAACACACGGAAAAACATGCGCCAGATTTTGATTTTTTAGCAGCTGGAAAAATATGCGAGTTGATCGATAAAGCCGGAGATGATGAAAGTGCTTTGTAAATAATTTTCAAGGGAACAGAAAAGAATATCCCCTTTTAACTTAGAAGGAATCCAGCCTGGCAATACAAAGACACACAATGTTGCACGTCACTATTTGCAAACGATAATCGATTGTACGTTCCCTGCGTTCGAGCGACTGACCCAGGAACAACCATCGAGCTGATCATGAACATAGGCCTGTAAAGAAAAATGGCACGCAACATGTAGTGTCGGAAGATATCTCAGGGTGCGATTGTTTGCCCGCAGCATCGCATAGTTATCAGCTACAATCAATGTACTAAGTGCAATATCACTAGACTGATGAACATTTATTCAAAACGTTCGAAATCTTGCGCGCCATTAGTGCAGTGTTAAAAGCCACCTTGTGGCACATTAAGGCCAGCAAATGAAAACAAGCAAATTTGTTTGTTTCAGGACATCATATTTCTTCAAAGTTTGTGCGCAAAAGAAAATCAACATTTTGTAAAAGCACGCTTGACTGAACCCACAAATGGTCTTATTTGTCCACACTTTAAGAGCCCGTGGCCGACAACTGGGGCGGGTACCCATTTCCTCCCACTGGGTGACTTTAAACATAAGTTAATGTACGAATGACCAGAATGATGCCAATAAATTTCTTTCTTGAAAGGTCATGCAGTATCAATTAAAAGTTTATTACACTTATTGGTCCATATGCGATAAGTCATCGGTATGTGATCACGGGCGTAGCTAGACCATTTTGAACGAGGGGGTGCCACGTGAAATTTGCCAACGGACCATCACGCAAAACGAGTGCACTGACTGTATCTCCTTTTCCATTCTCCGTTCTTCACTTTTTATTTTGCCGACAGACCATGATTTTGCCGACAAAACTGAGCCATGGGGGGAGGGGTGACACCCTTGATCCCCCCTCTAGCGACGCCCGTGTATGTGATGTTTTATCCGTTTTATCAGGCGTAACCGAGCGCACACCAGCCAAAATGATTAATCATTAATGAATTTCAAAAACGTAGAGAAAATAATATCCAATTTTAGGCACAGGTATAAGCCCCAACACAATCTTTGGTGTGACTGCCGTGACTTTACTGATAGTTATAAAGGGCTGCGTCCACCATTACCTCTCTCGAAGAACAATGCAAGCATGCTATATCTGCATTCTGAGCAAATTACGACGTCCGAAAAAAATGCAGCATAGACCCAAATTGCTGCAGTATTACCAAAGCAAAAAAGCATGATTTTTTTGTAACCAATATACTTGCATTGCCTTGTCCAGCATTGTCTCTCTTAGTTGTCTTTTCATTTCTGTTGCCAACCAGCGGATCTTCCTGCAGATGCAAAATACTACTGACAGCCACAGAAACCAAGAATGTACAAACGGAAAATTTCTACGGACAAGATTTTCTTTTAGACTAATCCTCTACCGAAGTGACTGCCTCGTAAGCATCAGTGACGTATCAAGGTTTTCGGTCGGCGGCGCACAGTGTGAAGTTTTCTAAAAAAAAATAATATCCATTCTTCTTCGCCTCCGTGAAACAATCCCCATCCCTTTTCCCCCAAATGCAACAAAACTGCTAAAAGTGTTGGTTCTTCCGATTCTCTCAAAACGAACAAAGTCTCGAGCGGAGGGGGGACGGGCACAACTTACCCACCTTCCATCTACCTAGATGCGCCACGGGTATCAACTGTACACGTCACATCAACAGTCACGTCAAATTGTTGTCTATCTTTGCTCGCCTCCTGTGCTATAGAGATTTTGTGTGACGTGACACCTGCAGCGTGTACAGTTTTTAAGCTGCGACAATTGCCTGAGCTTCGGCAGATTACTTTGAGAGGTCTGAGATTAGCTTGGCACTCACGAGAAATTGTGAGCGCCCATACAGTCCTCGCAGCCAGTCCCAATCTCAAACTATCCTGCCGAACTCCCCTCACCTCAACTTTCATTTCTCGTGCATTTCGGATTGTTCTCGTGCGCGCTGAGTTGTGGGAAACTGAAATGGCGAGCCAGTCTCTATTTGTGGATTCTACAGATTCTGTTCACTGACGTACCTCAGAACGTGCAGTACAGCGACTGGTGAACATTTCATCAGGCAGGACCCGCATTAGAACGGGGAGTAGACAAAAATGGAAGTTGAAATGTCTCTATTATTGTCCTGCGTATGGGGTACATAAACTGTTCAAAACATATCGAAAAGTACGCCGAAACACCAGGAATGAAAGCCCCTTCAGGAATATTGCTAATAAGATATTATGCATATTTCATCTGTAGGGAGTTGGGATCTTCGAAATCTATTTTTGAAGAAACTACAGAAAAAAATTGTCGCCAAAGGGGGCTTTATGAAAACTGTAGGTTGCGATCCCTAGTGGTTGTATACTTTAGATAACGGCAGTAAAATACTGCAAGGCAATGAACTGAGTTATAATCTGTTGATTGAGTTGCTTTTAATCTTTAGTGACAATAACATGGATTCATAAAGTCGTAGAACAGCAGCAGCAACAAGCAAACTGTGATACTTTACAGCTTGAATGAATTGAGCCATTAATTATCTTGTGGAAACTGCTTTTGCCCCAAAACTGGATTTTTTTACACCATTTTTTTTCTGAGGGGGATATCTCCATTTACATTTTTGTATTTTGATAACCGAACGATTGTTAATATTCGCCGTGGTTAACAATTCTGTTGCTTTTCGAATGCCAAACCATAGCTTCTTAATCCCTGGTCGGAAAAATCCTCGATGAAGAACAAGCTAGAATTTTAAATTTCACTGGCTGAAGGTACGGTACCTACTGGCTCACAGGAGTAGGAAATATTCATCATTACACCTCTGGCGGGATATCAAGTTCGATTGGTTTGCTCTTCACTTCGTGGGCCCGAGGCAATTAATCGAGAATGCGTCCAAGTAGACAGTAACATATAGCAGCTCTAACCATGACAGCAAGACAGACAGGGATTTGCTGATATAGGATCGCAGCGTGCGAAACAACTTGACATATTATATCACCTAGATGGTGCTACACGCTTGTATATTATCTCACACCGACATGCCAAACATGTTTATTTTTAAGTGTCCGAAGGCTCGTTAGTCTTATCATTTTTTTGGGGGGGGGGAAGAAGTCAGAGTGTAACTAATAGCAGAGCCAAGTTGATGTAATTAGTTACACGACTTGCGCTGGTCTATCAAAGCTTACCTTCAACAGACTCGGCAGATGGTATTGTCCTCAACTGTCCTCAACCAAAGCAGTATTTTTTAAGTGGTTTCAACAAAGATGATGTAATCATTAAAAACATCTGAATCATAGCACAAGTAGTCTTTGAATTCATGACAGCCAAATTCAACGATTTCCAACAATGGCATCAGTGTATCTTCTGAACATACGTTTGGAAATGTTATTTATTTCTGGCAACCAAAGCGAGGATTTCTCGAAAAGGCCCTCAGCACGGTAAAGCTCGCCGGCCCAAAGAAATTTGCTGACAAAAGACACTATACATACTGATGGAGGCTTACGCAACCTTTTCCAGGTGTTCATACTCCGACCCAAATCCTGTCCGCTCCGGGATGGCCCGCTGCCCAAAGGCCGTGTGTGTTTCACACGGATCTGGATCACGATTAATGATCCGTCGTTGGATTACGGACACCAAAGTCACCTAATGGATGGTGCGAACCAGTGTAAGGTTCACTGATCGAAGTCCAGATCCGTGTGAAATAAATCATCAGTCTTTTAACGAAGGGACGAATTTTTTATATCACTAGAGACAGATTTTTCGAGAAAATCGCATTTGGAGTTGGTCTCTATTTC